TGAAAAAGATAACAATCAAATATCATAAAAGAACCAGACATTTTCATTTGACAATTTGTATTTAACTTTGCATTCCTACTTGTTACTTAACTCATGTTTAGTGTTTTTTGTGGTGTTTTTTTTTTTTTTTTTTTTAAAAACCTGGACACGAATGAGATTTTAAAAGAACTGTCATGAGAGAAACTTTACAAATGAGAATGATTTTTCTACTTTCATATTTAGAGTGGAATTGTTTAAGAACTATTTATCCAGGTTTCTTTCTGTGAATGGAGGACAAACTGAGGTCACTTATTGTTCTGGTTAATCATTAGCCATATTTATATATTAGGTTAATTTGCAGAGTTTCAACAATCTTGTGTCCTTGGAAAGGGTCAGGAAATAGTACCAAATCAGATATACTGATTATCTCTGCTGTAAAAAGAACACTGAGTTTTTCTAGATCATGTGCTTGAAAATATGTTCTTGGAATAAGTTTTAAATCAAGTTCAGGCAGTTGTTGGTAATGATAAAATACTTTATGGGTACTCTGTACTGCTCAAGTTTGCAATGTTTGAGAAAACCACTGAGCTGCTCTTTTGTCATGTTGATGTTATGATATCCACTATAATTAATTTACTAGGATATGTGCTTTCCCCTCAGCTGTTTTCTGATCTGCTTGTAACAACTTCAAAACTGATTCTTTTGCTCTATTTGCATATCTATGCTATGATGTCTGCCTTTAATTCTAGCCATTTCTACATGACTGTGATACCTGAATTTGCTTACGTTGCATTATCTGATGCTTCTTTGACTTATAATTACACTGAAGTATCTCTAAGATTGTCTTCTCTTTTTTGTAAAGTGTCTATCAAAATGAGGTTATGGCCCAAAACATGGTCAGTGTGTTCTATTTTGCTGTTGTCACTGCAGTGATAATACCAAATCAGAATATTAGTATTTAAGAAACCTTATATTCTCCAGGAGGCAAAAGAAAATGGGGTGCATATGGACTACAGTCTCTTGTCTTATCCTTCCAAAGATCTCTGTCTCTGATTTGAGAGTGGAAAGTCATCCCATAGGAACATTCAGCTGAAGACCACAAAATGCTGAATTTTATTTTGATTGTCAGTTCACCCTGGAATGCACTTATGCTTTTAGTAGCTTTTCCATTTTCTCACAGGCACAGAATGGTAGTCATCTTAGTTCACAGGCAGCCATTACGTCTGTTTTATCCATGTACAAAGCACAGGGGTATAAAATTGTAGGTGCCCTAATAAGTTATGGAGGATAAACTTTCAGTCTACAAATAGTTCACCTCCTTTTGCTTTTGGCTGATTGATTTCAGGTAAGTGCAAAGGACTCAAACAGCCTTTTTTTTTTTTTTTTTTAACTCAAGGGAATTAATCAGAATGATGGATAACTACAGTTCAAGTAGAAATGCTTTTAGAGAATCAGCTCACTGTGTCCCAGACTCCTGCTTCTGTTCGGTGTAGCTGAATGTTAGCTGCTGAGATTGAAAAGAAATCTGTAAAGAAAGTGAGAGCTCTCCTGCTACTACTCCATAAGTGGCAATGTGCATGTGAGCCACTCGAAAGCCCTGTGCAAGTTAGACATCTACTATTTGGTAGCTTGGAGCAGTATCAAGGATGTCATAGTCCTGTCACTACAGTACTTCCTATACCCATACTAGCAAGTCCACAACAATCATTGTATCTCTCTTGCTCCCTCTCACCTGTCACATGTGCTAGAGATAGCATGAGTGGTCTGGTCATGTTTCGACTTGGAGGATCACATCACATGTAATCTCATAATCACCTGTTGCCGGATCAATATGATTAGACTTGCTGCCCATGTCTTGCAATTTAACACTTCGGTATTCAAAGAAACTTACTGTGCGTTTGAAGTCTTTGTCCCTCCTCCTTGTGTTTCTGCTTTCTTCTGTTGTGATCTCGCAGACATTTTCCTTTTACGTGGTAACTCTTTTCTCTCAGTGGAAGTTTCAGTGTGTGCTATGAAAGTACATATCTTGCAACATGACAGAGGCTTCTTCTTAAGAAGACAGTGAGCATTTATAGATGGAAACACTTTAGCACATACAGTATGCTCGTTCTCATCCCTTGCAGGATAAAATGTCCACCTACTTCTTAATTTGTTAGCTAAACTTGGCTACATCTGCCTTGAAAAAACATGACACAAACAACAATATCAAGCTATGTATATAGTCCTGGGTTACTGTGCTGATAAACTCTTGAAATATCTTTGTTTATTTTTCCTCTAGTGTACTTTTCCTCTACCCTTAAGTAGGCTATTACAGCTTCAAATGGTAATACATTGTAAGCTTTAAAAATGAAGTTGAAATAATTTAACTGGATTTTACCCATTGTCAGGTGCCAAGTATATTATTTTGCATTTTTGTTGTTTAAATTAAGTTGAAAATCCAAGAGGATACCTCTAAGTACTTAAATGACGCCTCATTCATTTTTACTATTCCAATATTAACACTTTTTAGCCTAGATTTTAGGCAACAGTATACTTAGGTGTCAATACCTGATTCAAGGATACTTGCTTAAAGAAAACAACCCTTGTTGAACCTAGCTGGCTCTGGATCAGATTCCCACTGTTTCTTTCAGAATAAAAATAAGATTTTATTCTCAAACAGAATTTCAGGAGCTTTTTGATATAGTTCTATCCTAGTGTGGTCCTTTACAATTGTGTAAGACCACTGAACTAAGTGGAAATTACTCATAAAGGACAGTAAGGGACAGCACAGCTTTTTTATTTCCTCAGTGATATTTCATCCCTCTTGCTTTTCCCTTGTGAAATAAATAGGCATAAGAGATGTTACTGCCAGAAGAGTGGGTAGATTTGTGGTAATGCCTAAGAGCAAATGTCAAACTATAGAAATGTCACAGTCTTGCTTTCAAACTAGATAGATTTGTCTGTATCTTTTATTTGAAAACTTTATCTTGCATAATCCTCTATGTATCTTGTATTGAGCACAAATACTGTGCTTTATGACAATTTATTCTTCTAAATTTAGCAGCACAGCTTTTTAATTTAGGCAGGAAAAGGCAAAAGAAAGTTTGGGTGGATAATTTCTCTCCTGAAGAGTGTCTTTCAGAAACAGTCATACCAAAGAAATACTTGGAGCTCTGAGTCACAGCATTAGTGGGTTGAATCCTTATTTTGTGCAGGTATACAGGATTACATTTTTCAGGATTTAAAAGATGTCAAAGAATTCTTTATAATAAAAACATATTTTAGGATAATGGCAGGGCTATAATATCTGAAAATCTGAGTTCTAAAGAAAGATTGTGACTTGACTGGAGGAGAGATTGACATGAATAAATTTGTTCTTTTAAAGAATATTTAAAACTCCACAAACCCACACCTTAAAATATTTTCTTGAAATTTGAAAGTTATGGAAGCTAGCCTTTCTAGACTAAAACCTCTATTCAGGATGTCTGGCATACAGACAACCTATGAGAACAGGTGCTTCTGGTGCATTTCACAGTCCTTCCGTTTTGCATTTACAGTTTGAATTCATATTGATTTCTTTCCCTTCTGCCTCTCTCCCTGGTTTTCTACCTCTACCCTTGTTTCTGGGATATACCATGACCACAGAATATTCCTTCTGAAAAAGAAGTGGAACTGAGTGGTAGTTAAAGTTAGTTATCCTGGCATTAGCATTTTAACATTTCCCCTATTTAAACAGCATTTACCTGCTGTTTCTAAGTATTCTTGAATAATTATCTTAGGGGAACATTTTCTGTGAAGTGCTTTTTGGCCCTTTAAACTGCTCTGTTAGTTGAATTAGGGCAGTACATTAATTTTTAACTGAAAAGATTTATTTATTTTTTTCCTATCAGAAGTCTATTCACTTGAACTCCTTAAGGAAGCTGTATTCCCAGAGTTACATGTTATCAGCTGAAATATTTCATCCCAGTTTGCCTCACCTGGTATCAGAAAAAAACCAGCTTGAATGTTACACTCTACTCAGCAGTTCAGGGTGATTGACCAAGAGATGTGCTACTGAGCAATGGAGGCTACTGTAGAGCTCTGCCTGTTCTGCTCCTGAGCCAGTGTGCATGGAAATGAGCAGGTGGGCTTACCGTATATTCATTGTATCTCTGTGAAAGGCTTTGGACATGATTGTTGTTGAGGGCTCTCACTGAGAGCTGGGCAAAGCCTTTGCAAAGTCAGCTTAAAATGACAGCAAATTAGAATGGTAGCTTTTACAGTCATTGTGCAGGCATTAGAGATAACACGGGTGTCAATGAATGTATGTTCTCCCATTGGCTTTGGGGTTTTTTTCACTTGAAGAATTTTTTTTAAAAATCACTTAAAATATTTGCTTGATATGCATAAGACATGGAAACTAGACTTTCTCAAATTAAAGCATCAGATGCCTATATTCAAGATCTCTACTGTACATCCCTCAGTAGTAATGTAAATAGAACTACAAGGCACAGGAAACTATGGAATTGGCAGTACAAGCTCCAGGGGAGTCCTGGATTCTGCATGTTTACAGTGAGTGCATCCTTTTCTGTTTGTAAAAGGTGTGAGTAAACTAGTGTTGTCTTTTTTACTTTCTCTTGGGTAACTACTGCTTTCTGAATATGCAAGCAGGCAACTGCCATTGGACTTCAGTTTCCAGCCTCCTGGCTTCCCAAACACAGAATTTACATCCTATGTGATTAATAAATTGAGGATTAGTTTTATCTTGGAATACAAAAAGGTTAATTTGTTGAAACCTGTTTTCCATATCCTACTGTAGGGTAGAGCTTCTTAGCTCATTCTCACTCCCCACAGCTTCAATTTGGAATGTAATAGCACTGCACTGCCCAGAGTCTCTAGACCTGTTTCTTTGAACTTAAAACATTTCTTCTCCTCACTAAACATGTTAAAATAAACTGTGCTTTTGTTTTTGTTTTAAAAAGTATAAATTTTGGATTCTTAATTATTCTGAAGGTAGCAGTTGTAATGCAACTATCATCCGTGGCTTATAACAGAAAGGATACTTGTGGTCAAAGCCATACCATATTCTGAACAGCCATGCACTCTCAGCTTTCATGGTATTTTTATCCAAGTTAGTTGCACTCTGCAAAATAAAGTGAAAAGTATTTTTATAACATAAATAAAACATGGTGTTCCAATATTAAAAATACAATTAAAACCAAATTATAAATAACTGCATATTTTTTTAGTGTAAAAGACTTTGGTGCACAAATGCCATCTCTATGAATCAGTTCTGGAGCAAATTAGCTCATATGGTACATTTCTTATTGCTACATACTCACTGGAAGAGTGCGGCACTTACTTTAATTATTCCAATTTTATTAAGTTGAGAAGCACTATATTCTGAGATCAATAAAATGATATTTCGATTTAATTGCTGTTGTGGGATTACTTCAGTTTACTTCTACAACCTCAGATGCTATTTGTGTATGTCTAACAAAATGTCAGTCCCAAAGCGATCATAATATTCTAATAATTATGACACTCCTTTCTGTGCTCCTTTCCAAGGGGAGAGGAACGCGACTTGAATCAACAAGACTCACAGTGCTGCTTTCCATTCTGCAGGCTAATTCTGGGGAGTATTGCACAAGTAGACAGAATCTGCTTTTAGTCATGGTCATAATTTGGAATAATGCAGAAAGGGTTATCTGTACAAAGACAATTACTTTGGTCGTATTCTGGGCTTCACATCAGTGGTGGTGGAAGAATTAATAGCAGGATGAAATTAGGAAAAGGATTGTCAGTTCTCAAAGGATATTTCATTACTGTCTTGCATTTTGTTGCAATTTAGGTTATTTATTAATGGGGATACATTTTTTTTTGGTGATTTTAAAGCAATTTATCAAATATTTTTTTGTTTTAGTAACATAGTAATGATTAATTTTTCTATTATAAATTACCATACATGTAAATTGGCTGATGATAATGTCAATAGTCTGATACTCAAAATTGTAATGTCTACTTTTAAGTCAACCTGTACATGGGAATTTCTATGTTGATTTCACTGACTTTTGAATAAGATTATCTAGAGACAGAAGCTGTATTGTAGCTGTTATGATTTTGCTGATGTTGCAGTGAACGTACAAGTGCACCAAATAGGCAAAATATTATTAACGGGATCTGCTTCCTTTTTTGTGAATTGAATATTTTAGCAGTGGGGGAGGCTGGGGGACTGTAGAAGATGGTACTAATCCCTAATAGCAGAAAACCACTGCATTTTGGCAAGATAGATACAGACTCGGAAAAGGACTGAAACATTTGAGCAGGAAGTCTGATGGCAAATAAGGTCCTATGTTAGGTCAGAACAAGAACAACACTGAAAGAAAGAGGGAGAAGAACTCCACTGGACAGATACTGAGATGAGAAAGAGGACAGGCATGGAAATACACACTTTGTGGAGTGGACTGCAGCAAGCAGCCAATGAGTGCAAGGCAGAACAAGGCTAGTTAAAAGCACAGGGAGCTCTGGAAATGGCCTTTGTCTCCTTGATTTGACTAATAATGTTTCCAGAAGCCACAATGTTGTTGGTTAACGCCTCTTTCCAAAATCATTGTCTACCTAGCTTCCTCTTGCATTCATGTGTCCATATGAGAGCAGTGGAGAAAAAAGTCTACACTGGAGTGTAATTCTCCCAGAATTTGCTGCTCCTGACATGGACCTGCTTTTATCTCTTGCCTTAGTGTTTATTGTTGCCCTGGTGGCCTGTAACCTGTGGCTTGTTCGAGCTCTGTGAGTTTGACATGTCATACCTTCTTCCTTTTGTAGATGAGATGTATGTTATCAGCTTTTGCATTAGTGGGAATCTGGGTAGTTTCGAATAGTGCAGCTCCTGCATAATCAGTATAGTCGATGGATGGCAGAACATGTCAGTGTGAATTGCAGATCCTTAGATCCTATGATTCTAAAAAGCAACTTTTCCCTTTCCCTGAAGTCCTGAGAGGTAGAAGTAGAGGAGACAGTCCACCACCTCTTCTGGACAGTTTTCTCTCTGGGAAGTGAGAATGCCAGTGTTGCTCATCTCTTACTTGGGAATTACCTATATGGAGATTATTCTCACTAGTGACTTGCATTTTCCCCAACCAGCTGGCAGAGGAAACTGATAGGGAAAGTATAAATAACTTCCTTATTATACTAATAAAGATATAGGGATGGTTAAATAAGCTATGAACATGACTTTGACAGAGATTATATTGAAAGGTGTTTTGCGGGCTATTTAGTTTTCTGCTGAGATCAATACTATATCTACAACATTTTTCCAAAATGCTTACAGAAAATGTATTCTTACAGTGTCTCAACAGAGATTAACAAAGCAGATTTTGAGATACATAAATCATTAGACTTAGAAATGCTATTGACTATCTTTGTTTATGGGAAATTAGTTAAAAAGCCCAGTGGCTTTTGCCTTTTTAATATTTTTATTACTCTGGTGATTATGTATCCTGCATTCTGCTTATCAGAGTTAGCTCTTGGTGTTTGTACTGTGAATTTGTGATTTGCAGCAAACTACTTTTAGTTATATTTTCTATACAATAATATATATTATCTATAGTATGTATTAAGTAATTCAGCTCTTTCAGAACTGAGTTATGACAGCCCATCGATAAATAAATGGATATGAATGAGGCTATTAATCTTTTGCTCATGTTAATTTTGTGATAATGATTTGATGATAAACACATTTAAGGAAAGGTAAGGCAGAATGAATACAGAGAATCTGAGATTCTTTTGATGGATGAGGTCATGGTATGGTGAAGTCCAGATACTAATTATACACTACAAGGCTTGACACCTTTGCTGGGGAAGGGTTCCAGGTCTTACAGCTTGGAACTGGAATTTGCTGCTAGTTGACTACCAAAATTACTGGTTGAGCCAGTCCAGAATAGAGCATAATCAGAAGTCCAGAAACAACTGTGTACATCAAAGTCTTGATGAAATAAATCAAACTCCTTCAGAGAAGAAAAAATTGAATTTGTGGAAGGGAAGGAAAAAAGGGAGATGAAGAGGCAGGAAAGCAAGACAGTTTTGCAGCCATATAGCTGCTATTGCCTTTGACATTGTACTGATGAGTTGGAAGGTGTTTGTCTTTTTCTTTCCCT